TGTATTGTGTGTACTCTCGGTGCTGCCACTGTTGCTACTACGACCACCACCGCTACCACTATTGCTACCACCACCACTACCTTTATTTCTACCACGATCACTCCCCTACCACTGCCAATGCCACTGAGACTAGCACTACCACTGCTACGATCACCACCACCACTAACAACATTACTATTGCGACTGCCACCATTACCGCTATTTTCACCACTACCACACTTACAACGAGGACTGCAACTACGATCGCAACTACGACTAAAACAACGACCTCGACTACTACTACTACTACTACTACTACTACTACTACTACTACTACTACGACTACTACTACTACTACTACTACTACTACTACTACTACTACTACTACTACTACTACTACTACTACTACTACTACTACTACTACTACTACTACTACTACTACTACTACTACTACTACTACTACTACTACTACTACTCTACTACTCTACTACTACTACTACTACTACTACTACTACTACTACTACTACACTACCACTACTACTACTACTACTACTACTACTACTACTACTACTACTACTACGACTACTATCACTAGCACCACCACTACTTTGACCACTGCTGCTACTATAAGTACTACTGCTAGTACTACTACTACTACTACTACTACTACTACTACTACTACTACTACTACTTGTACTACTACTACTGCTACAACTATTACTACATCCACAACTTCTACTACGACTACTACAACTACTACGACTACTACTACTACTACTACTACTACTACTACTACTACTACGGCGACGACTACTACTACTACTACCACCACGACTACGGCTACTACTCCAACTACTCCAACTACTACTACTACTACTACTACTACTACTACTACTACTACTACTACTACTACTACCACTACTACTATGGTTACTCCCACTACTACTACTACTACTACGGCCACGACTACGACTATTATCGCTGATACTAGAGCAACTACTACTGCTACGACTACTGCTACTACTACGACTACTACTGAGACTACTCCGACTACTACCACTACTTGTGCCCGTACTACGACTACTACTCCTTCTACTACTATTCCGACGACTACTACTACTTCTAAAAATACGATGACCATTACCATTACTACTACGGCTACTGTAACTACGACTACTACGTTTACTACTACTGCGACGACTACTAGTTTTCCTTCTTTCTGCTGCTACCACTACTATGTTCCACTACTAATTTGTCTAGTACCAGTATTACCACTCCTACTACTACTACTACTACTACTACTACTACTACTACTACTACTACTACTACTACTACTACGACTACTACTACTACTACTACTACCACTACTAATATGATACTGGAGGAAAACCCCAATCAGGGCTAGAGGGCTATAGGGCTATTGTGCTATATGGCTATAGAGCTATAGGGCTATCCATACGACCACCCTTCGGGTGATAAGGAGGTTCGGGGAGGGGGGGGTGAACCAAGGTCTCACCTGATCGGTCTCCATATCGATCTCACAATCGATCTCACTATCGGTCTCGCTCGGTCGATCTCTTGCTGTCGATCTCACAATCGATCTCACTCGAAGTACTTCATTCGATCGATCTCACAATCGATATGTCTATCGATCTCACAATCGAGCTCACTATCGATCTCGCTATCGATTTCACAATCGATCTCACATTCGGTCTCGTTATCGATCTCGCTATCGATATCACAACCGATCTCACACTCAACGTCATCATCGTCATCATCATCAACATCATCGTCATCAACGTCATCAGCAAAACCATTACCATCATCATCATCATTGGTACACCATCATCATCACCTCATCACTATCATCATCAACATCATCATCATCACCATCATCATCATCGGGTCACCATCATCGTCACCATCATCAGCATCAACCCCATCATCGTTGGGACACCATCATCATCATCGGAACACCTCAACAATCATCACCACCATCATTTCATCATCATCATCAGCATGAACATCATCAACATCATTGTCATCGGGACACTATCATCATCATCAATGACATCAGCATCATCATCATCACCATCGGGACACCATCATCAATCATTGTCACCATCATCAGCATCGCCATCATCATCACCATCATCGGAACACCATCATCATCAACATCAGCATCACCATCATCGGGCCCTCATCATCAAAACCATCATCATCACCTCAGCATCATCCTCATCATCAACATCATCACCATCGGGACACCATCATCGGCATTACCATCATCAACATCATCACCGGCTCACCTTCATCATCTCCATCATTATCAACAGCATCTTCTTCAACCTCATTATCATCACTGGGACACCACCATCATCTTTATCATCATCATCAACTTCTCCTCATCATCTCATCATCAACATCATCGGGACCATCAACACCATCATCATCATCAACATTGGGACACCATCATCACCATCCTTGGCAACATCATCATCAACACCATCATCATTAGGACATCGTCATCATCACCACCATCACCATCATCATCAATATTGCCAACATCATCATCATCAGGACACCCTCATTATCACCACCATCATCATCATCAACATCATCGACATCATCATTATTATCAGCATCACCATCCTCATCATCATCATCAGCATCATCATCATCGGGGCACCGACGGGACACCGGCGGGACACCGGCGGGACACCGGCGGGACACCGCGGGCCACCGGCCCCCGGAAAGGAATCGCTTGGTCTGGCCGCGCCTCAGCCGGAGGCGGGACACCGGCGGGGCACCGCGGACCACCGGCCCCTGGAAAGGAATCATTTGGTCCGGCCGCGCCTCAGCCGGAGGAGACTTTCTTCCCGCCCGCCCACGCAGTTTCGCCTCGCCCGCACGCACGGCCCGCACGAACACGAAACCGAAACCGATTTCCCGGTAGGGGGGCTCTCCGTTTCACTTCGATCTCACCCCCTGACGTCCGATAGAGTTGCAGGGCTATAGGGCTGTTGGGCTGTTGGGCTCTAGGGCTATCTATAGGGCTATTGGGCACCCCCGGGCACCCCCCGGCACCCCCGCGGGCACGCCCGGGCACCCGGGCACCCGGGCACCCCCGGCCACCCTGCGGGCACCCGGGCACCCCCGGGCACCCGGGCACCCGGGCACCCGGGCGTGCCGCGAAAATCGGCGGCAAACCTAACCTAACCATATGAATCCGCGAGGACCCCTACAGAGGCAGCTCTGATTGGGGAACTACTAGTTCTACGACCAAGGTTATTCTTATTACTACTATTACTACTACTACTACTACTACTACTACTACTACTACTACTACTACTACTACTACTACTACTACTACTACTACTACTACTACTACCACTACTACTACTACGACTACTACTACTACTACTGGAGTAGCTTTAGCAGGGTTCTAAAGTGCGGCGGCAGTCCTCCTGATGTGAGAAGACGAAGATAATAAAGAAGAAGAATAAGAAGGAGGAGGAGCAGGGATGACCCCCCGTCCCCCCAGCCAGGGGGGATCACGCCGAGGGCGCTGGTAGTTTGCGTTTGTCGTGGCCCCCCCTCCCCCTCCGCTGCTGCTGCTGATCGCGGCTGGGAAAACTACCGCTCTCAGAACTTCAGAAGGGGCGCCTCGTCACCGCCTCACTTCCTGGTAATTCAGGGGGCACCGCCCGGGCGCAGCTCGAAAAACTAGACTCGCGAGGGCTGTGGCGGAGGAGGGCGCCACTGGCGAGCCAATTTCTTTTGGTGGAGGGGGGCGGGGGAGGAGGTTCAGGGGGGGGGGGAGGAGGAGGGGGGGGAGGAGGAGGAGGAGGAGGAGGAGGAGGAGGAGGAGGAGGAGGAGGAGGAGGAGGAGGAGGAGGGGAAGGAGGAGGAAGATGAGTCGGAACACAAGGATGAGGAGGATGTAGAGGATGATGAGGAGGAGGACGGATGATGCTGATGAGGAGGAGGACGAGGAGGGCGATGAGGAGGACCAGGTGGATGAGGATGCCGAGGATATGAGGTGGACGAAGGAAAGACGACAGGAGGGCGAGGAGGCGCCGGAGATGGTGGATGATGAGGAGGAAGATAACGATAACGATGCGGAAGGGAAGGGTGATGCAACAGAAGATGGGGATGGGAATGAAGGTGCAAAAGCAGCATGAATTTGCCTCCCCTTCGCCTCGCCCCGCCTCCCCTTGCCCGAGTTGCATCGGCGGCGCGACGCGCGCCGCCGCTAGCAGAGTCAGAGCCACTGCGAGGAGGAGGGGGGGAAGGAGGAGGATGGATGATGGGGAGGGGAGGAGGAGGAGGAGGCGGGGTTTGGGCGAGGCGAAGGGGAGGCAAATTCATGCTGCTTGTGCACCTTCATTCCCATCCCCATCTTCTGTTGCATCACCCTTCCCTTCCGCATCGTTATCGTTATCTTCCTCCTCATCATCCACCATCTCCGGCGCCTCCTCGCCCTCCTGTCGTCTTTCCTTCGTCCACCTCATATCCTCTTCCTCGGCATCCTCATCCACCTGGTCCTCCTCGCCCTCCTCGTCCTCCTCCTCATCAGCATCATCCGTCCTCCTCCTCATCATCCTCTACATCCTCCTCATCCTTGTGTTCCGACTCATCTTCCTCCTCCTTCCTCCTCCTCCTCCTCCTCCTCCTCCTCCTCCTCCTCCTCCTCCTCCCCCTCCTCCTCCTCCCCCCCCTGAACCTCCTCCCCCGCCCCCCTCCACCAAAAAAAATCGGCTCGCCAGTGGCGCCCTCCTCCGCTACAGCCCTCGCGAGTCTAGTTTTTCGAGCTGCGCCCGGGCGGTACCCCCTGAGTTACCAGGGAGTGAGGCGGTGACGAGGCGCCCCTTCTGAGAGCGGTAGTTTTCCCAGCCGCGATCAGCAGCAGCAGCGGAGGGGGAGGGGGGGCCACGACGAACGCAAACTACCAGCGCCCTCGGCGTGATCCCCCCTGGCTGGGACGGGGGGTCATCCCTGCTCCTCCTCCGCGTCATCAT